TTTATTTGTTTTTTCCCCACTTTTCTGCCTCTCTCTAAAATGTTTCCCCACATCTCTTTAATTTCTCTGAGACGTTTTTTGCCTCCCTTCCCACCTTTCCCTGTTTTCTTTTCTCTCCCAGGTGCAGTCAGTTCGAGGGGTCATTCCTTTGCAGATCCTGCCAGTAATCTGGGTCTGGAAGACATTATTAGGAAAGCATTGATGGGAAACTTTGATGACAAGAGTGAGGAACATGGAGTTGTACTGTCACAGTCCCTTGGGGTCGCACCGGGCAGCTCCGGGGCCGCGGTACCGGCGAGTAACGAGACTCGTAGGGAAGAAGCCAATCCATCACCAAATTCAGGTGAGGTATTATTGCAACTCCTAAGTATCCCATGGTCTTAAAATAAATAAATAAAGGGTTTGAATAAATTCAGTGTCACTGAAAATCACTGTCTTTTCTCTGGAAGTGACAGAGGTGGTGTTTGCATTCCCTCTGCTGTCCTGGGTTTTCAGGAGGATTAACCTGTGACAACACTGATGGAATGGGGAAGAGAGAACAGGGTGTGTTGGACACCTGAAGCTTCTCAGTGCTGCATGCTAACTTAGAGAAACAAACACACAGAGGCTAAAATGCAATTTTTGTGAAATCTGTCCCTTCTGTTCCCAGGAGGGGGAGTCAGCAAGCAGAAGCTCATCGGCAAGTCAAACAGCAGGAAGTCGAAGTCTCCGATTCCTGGACAGGGATATTTGGGAACTGAAAGACCTTCTTCTGTCTCATCTGTACATTCAGAAGGGGACTACCACAGACAGACGCCAGTGTGGGCCTGGGAAGACAGGCCTTCATCAACAGGTGAGGAATGGGGTTCTTTCAAACTTCACAAACAGAGGAAGTGTCTGTAGAAAGCTGAGATGCTGACACACTGTAACACTGGATATCAGCTTACACAGTGTATGGAGGATTTTCTGAAATGGATTTTCTGATAGTTGTCACAACCAACCCCAGCCTGGCTTTACACAGATCTCTCAGAACAGCTCCTGTTTTTGCCTTTTGATCCAGGTTCCACCCAGTTTCCCTACAACCCGCTGACGATGAGGATGCTCAGCAGCACCCCCCCGACATCCATCGCCTGTGCCCCCCCGTCCATGAGCCAAGCAACCACTCACCCACAGAACAGGATATGGGAGCGAGAGCCTGCACCACTGCTTTCAGCACAATATGAGACTCTGTCTGACAGTGATGACTGAACTATGCAGATTATTATTTTTTTTTTAATTTGCGGGTCAAAAAAAGAAATCTATTTTTGACTTGTGCCCACAGAGACTTTCCAAGAGAGCAAGGGCCACACAATGAAGAATTGCTGGAGAGTCTGTTCAATGCCTTCTGCACAGGCTGTGCGTTGGAGGATTGTGGTTGAGAAGGTTGACTTACTAAAGATAAATATGTAAAGAGTTTTTAAAAATGTGGACTATTCCTGCTCTACATCTATTTGTAAAGAAAACCATAATGTCTTTTAAATCATTCTTCTGTAAATAGAGAGTACTTTTTGCAGTGTTTTTTCCCTTGCTATAGTATCTGGTGTACTTATGTTCAAATCATTGCCTAAACTTTGGGGGTCATTTTGTAATTTTTTTTAAGCATTTTCTCCAGTGTAGAATACTCTTCATAACCCTAGCCTCCCTCTCAGCCTAGCCTAACCAGAACCCCAGCCTCCCAACCATCATTGCCCGTTTAATGCCATGCCACTTCCTGCAGGCATTGTGCTTTTATATAATTTTTTTTTCTCCCTAGACACACTCTTTCAGTGGTGTTCAAGCTCTTGTGAAAATGTTGATTTTTAAGACTGACCCCTTAGTGAATTCTGTACATTAACATAGTCCGGTTCGCTGGAATAAGATGATATATTTCTTTGAATTTGAAATTCTGCCACATTGTAAATTTTTGGTGCAGTTGGTTTTATTTAGCAACACTGCAGAAATATTATTGCATGGGTATGTTATGGCTCATTTTTTTTGAAAGGTTAAAGAAACAAAAAGAACAGCTTCTGGAGGCATACCTCACTGTTATGCACACTGGGAATTTTGACTGTGCCCCAAAAGCCTATCTTAGTGTTTTTTGTTTCTGCATTGTATGCAGTCAAAACAGGCTACTAAATTTCCCTGTCATATTTAACCACAGCAAATGGTTTTTCTGAAGAGGCTCTGGGTGGGTTGATAAATCCTTTAAGAAGAAAAACCTCTACATCCCAAGTTTAAATAAAACAAAGTGCTTTTATAGAATAATTGAGCAACACACGAGTCAGCTACTTGGCTTCTGTTACAACCAGTTTGAAATAGGTACTGTGATTTTTACCTTCCTCCAATCTGATTTTTGTAATAATTACTTTGAAGTCTGCGTCCCAGTCCCTGTAAGCAAGCTTTTGGTGGAAGTCCTTACAAATGCTTGGCTTAACTCCCAAAGTGTGCAATACTTGTTAGGGTGATTTTTATTTTTGAACTGTATATGGTACTAGGAGAGTCTCCTTAATCATTCAGTGCTTGCTATGGTATGCTTGTAGCTCATGTACACACACATCTGGTTAGTGATATCACAGGGTGCCCTGACATCCATCTCCAGAAGCATCTTATTTTATGCTGCACTGACCTCAGGAAGTGAATTTAACTCTTCTGGGGTAGAAGGACTGATTTACAGATAGCACTGAGCTGGGGGGGTGGCGTGGTCTGTCAGATTCCAAACTGCTTTTGCATCTCATTGATCAACAGAGTCTTTGCCTTGAAGTTATTTTCCAGTGAAAATATTTGGACTTTACCGCTGTGTTTGTGATCGTTGTATGGAAGGTGTAAAGCAGTGTGTAACCTTAAGCCATGTGAGCTCTGCAGCCAATGGAGGGACTGTGATGGTCCAGTTACAAACAGGAAGAAGCACAGAACTATTTATCAACAGCAAATTTGTTTTCAGTCCTTTAAGGAAAGCCTTTTTGCCCCAAGTGTGGGAAACAAAAAAAATCCAAAGGAACTCATTTGGAAACTTGACACTGTGTTGAAAATACAGAATTATTTTGCTACTTTCTTTAAACACTGCATCAGAGTAGATCCTTTGGCAGTCTTAAATCTCCTTGCAGTCTAAGAAAGATTTCTCTCATCCTCCCATCCTTTACCCTTCTGGCTTGAAGCAGTTTTCATCCTGTTTGTAGACCTGTGCTCTTATTTTAACTCTCTTTTTTGTTCCCACAGCAACATATACTGGAAAACGAGTTGATCTGCCCTTTTTGTAGATTTAAATTTGGAGTGGAGAGTTAAGTTCCATTCTTAAGCTCACTTGTTCTCACTTTCTTAGTGTAACAAATACAATGTGAAAGAGGCATGTACAGACAAATGTCTTTGCTACCTGTACAGTAAGTATAGCATGTTCATTGCAGAGCTTCATGTTACTGCTGCAGCAGCAGCAAGATATCCAAAGTAGGATAGTCACCTTCTCCTAAGATACAGCTTGAGTGGCATTTGCACATAAAATGTTGCTGCTTTTTTGTTTGTTATCTGAGTTTTAACTTCTCCAGTGTAAAAAACCTCTCCAGAGCCTAAGTTAGGGTTTACCACAATTCCAGTAATCTTCAAGTATGGAATTACATCTGCCCTGTTTCAAACAGGAAGGTGTTTGTAAGTCATGTTTACAAAGTTTAGTTTACTACAAATTTTTACCTGATTTCTGATCAGCGCTTTCACAATGCTTTCATCTTGATATGGTTCGTGATTCTGATATTGAAATCATTTAAGACTTGAAAAACCCATGCATCATAATTTCCACACAATGTCTTCAGTAGACAGTGACTTCTGGATTCAGACCAATCAATAAAGGGGATCAGTTCTCCACTTGCTTTTCCTGTGTCTCCCTCTTGTTTTGCAGCCTCAAGCCAGACCCTGCCCTCCATGGCTCTGCAGGGCTCCCAGTTAACACTGCTGCTGTCCAAGGGCTGCCCCTTCAGAACTAAAACCAGAACTTTAAAGGTTGGCTTTAATGTGCCAGAGCTTTTCTGTCAGTACGGTCACAGTTTTACTTCCTAGAGCTTGCTGAGAACAAAGATGTACATGATTTACGTTTTTTCAGCTTCAGTGAACTTCTACTCCAGAAAACCCACATGCCTTAGCTCTAAGTTCAGCAGAGCTGAAGCTGCTACTGGAAGTGAACTAATAATAATGCATTTAACATTGAGGGTTGTCCCAACCAGCTGAAGTTCTGACAACTGAGAGGTTAAAATTATGCTTGGTTATTGACAGAACTAGTTAATTCTGCTACCCTAACTAAATAGGGAATTTGATAATTTCTGGTTTAATTCTCCTCTGTCTTTAACATTAGGCTTCCTGGCAGGGCAGAACTGAAGAATTCTGTTGTATAAAGCAGCTGTTCATACTTGATTCACATGAAGGGATGTAGCTGACAAAGCTGGGTTTGTACATACCATCTTTTCCAACAGGAAGCCTCAGCATTCTAACACTGACCTATCCAAGGAAGGAGGACAGCTTTGGCACTCCGTGTGCTCTCCACTGGGGTAAGGGAGCCAAGTGTTGTATTTCTGACAACAGCTCTGTTTTGGTAACAGTCTCACCCCTCCCCTGAGAGGGCATGTTCTATCTTTGGATGCTCAATGCTTTGAAGAAATACCCTTGATCTTCAGGCAACCTGTTTGACAAGGACACGGGGTTACAGCTCTGTCACAGTGCAGGTATAGCCTGGGGAATGCTCTCCTGAAGTTCAAACACACTGCACTGTAGCTCTGATAAAAGTGTAGCCCCTGTTGTGCTGTCCAGCATGTAAAGAGTGAGACAGTTCCTGCCTGTTCCTTTTCATGACTTGCTCTAGTACAGCCATGTTTTGAAATGGAACACTTCTGCAACAGGCAGGAGGAGCAAACAACTACTCCTTAACTGCAAGTATTAATACCAGGCCAGGCCTGCCCTTTGCTGGCAGTCAAAGTTAAATCACTAGCACAGTAGGTCACTCTAACCACACACTGCACCACAAATTCACATAGTTAAGATTTCACACCTTTATTTTGGGATAAGTTGTTGGGCAGTAGCAGCCCTTCCTATTTAGCAGTCCTTGAACTCCTCCTTGCTGCTCCCCTGGAGAACTGCACTGAGCTGGTCCCAGGCTGCTTGTGCTGACCAGCCCTTGTTGCCCTGGGCCACCTCAAGGTTGGACTCTGTAGCCAAACTTATTTGGAGCCCTTTCTCCTCTTGGCCAGCTCGGCTAATTCTTCCTGGATATGCTGGACAGAAGCAACATCCCCCTTCTGTTGTGCCTGCTTGAGAGCTTCTTTGTACACTTGTTTTGCTTGCAGAAAGTCTTCTGTAGCAAGAGGGAAAAGAGGGATGGCTACCCAGGTACATCAGTCATTTTCAGAGTCCACTCCTGAACCTGACCACGTGCAAAGGACAAGGACTGCTTGGAGCACATCAAGAACTAGGGAGATTCAGAAAATATCCTGCTAGGCTGTCACCTGTGACAGCTGGACAGCAACAATGACTGGACACGGTGCTGCATCAGCATTAATATCTCATGGAAACAAATCTCATGCATGTCTTCTGTCCTTTTGGAGCCAGTAACTGTACACAGAGGACAAGGTGAACAAGACCCCCTGGCAACCTTCTGGGTCAGCAGTTGAATTCAGTTTGAATTGCCTTCACAAAGTCAGACCTACTGCTTAAACTAAAACTAGTCAAGCAAAGCCAAGACTATAGTTCAATGCTACAATACAGTCAAGCACAGTGACAAGCTTGGGCATTGATTTACTGACCTTTGTGCATCAGAATTGCTGCCAGGTTATTCAGCACCATGTGCTCCTCGGGGTGCTGAGTCTCCCTTGCCAGCTCTGCCGCCCTCTTCACGTAGGAATAGGCCTCGTCGTGGTGCCCCTGAGCATCCAGCACAGTCGCCAGGTCGTTCATCAGGACCACAGTCTGCACCAGGATGGAAAGGGGAATCCTCAGAGCAGGACTTGTGCAGCAGTCTGAGGCAGCAGAAGCATCACATTCATCCCCTGTCACTCTAATAAAAGCAGCATTTGCCAGAGAAGCTTTCAGTAAGAAAGTGCCTTATATTTCTACATTTGCATGCTCGTCCTTTCCTGGCAGGAAAACAGCCTTACTTAGTGCTGGGCATGTTGGATGTCAGCAAAGCTCCCTAGAGATCAGCCTTTCTTTCTTTAGTGGTCCAACCACTGTAGTACAAGTCACCTGTGGATGAGTCTCTCCCTGAACATCATTTGCTATCTGCAGAGCCTTCTCATACATCTTCTGGGCCGCTGGGAGCTGGTTCACGCTCAGGAGGTACCGAGCGTAGGAGTCCAGGCTCATCCCGAGCAGGAGACGGGTGTTGGCCTTTTCTTCAGCTGCAAACAGAGAGGAGTGAAGTGGTCACTTGTCCAGGATCAAGCACAAGTCTCCATCCTACAAGAGCAGGAAGCTCATGCAGTGTCAAGATAATGGACTGACATGAAGGTGGTGCTTAGGTAATATGGAAAGCAACATCAAGGGTATGAAAATGGAGAAAGGATAATGAGGAGCCTTTGGCAGACAAGGCAGTCCCACCTGGTAAGACATCCTCAGGCAAGTCCTTTTGTTTGGCAATCTTCTCCTCTAAGGTCAGGATGCAGAACTGGTATCCAGCTATGGCTAATTTGTCCCTGAAAAGTGCAAACCAAAGCCCCTTCCATACCTGAAGGGACAAACGTGAACACCTTCAACCCCTCATTCTAGAGGGCCTGCAAGGCTAATTTTCTCCTTCTGCAGCCCCTCAGTGCTCTCTTTATCATGGCCTGAACCCTTCTCTTGACCCATGGGCAAAAGGATCCAGGGGGTGGATAGGACCCCCTTCCCCCCACCAGGGCTGACTCAGGCCACCCATGCTGAGGCTTCACTGAAAAATGAGGCTATAAGTCACCAGCTACCAACTGCTCTAAAAGCCTCTGCCCAGGGAGGTGTGGATTTCAGTTCTCCATGGCTGCTTCTGCCCTGAGCTGGGCTGGTCCTTAAACCACTTGCTGTGCTACACAACAGTGGGCAGGCAAATATGTGTGTGGGAACCTTTGAGCTGATGGTGTCTTGTCACATCAAAGCTTCCTCAGGCACTCTGTTCTTAAAGAGCCTCTGCTTGGCCACCCTTGCCACTGTGGAGCTGAAATGAAAGCCAAAGATGCCTTTAGCAGGGAACTCACTGTTTCTGAGCAGCGTAGATACTGGCCAGCTTGAGGGACATCTCTAGGATTGCATTGTCATCCTGCCAGGAGGACACACAATGCAACTGTCATTCTTCCTGCACCTCCCCAACAGAAACATTACTTTCTCAGAGTGTTTAAGAACTTAAAAATCCCCATCTTGTTGCCTTTCTCAGAAAAACATACCTCCTTCATGTCCCCTGCAAGCAAATAGCTCATACTTGCTTTGTAGAGCTTTTCTGCCTGAAACGAGAATTTTGAAGAGGATACCAAGGAATGATGGCACTTAAAACAAAACAGAGGCAGCCTGCTTGGAGAGACCTGTCTCAAAGTGGTGGCATTTACACTGTGCATCAAGTTAGAAGTGAAAGGCTGACCAGAGCCCAGTGGACTGCTATACCAGCCAGGCATTTACCATGTCTGTGTGTGCTCGGGGCTTTCCCAGATTCTCCTCGGGACAGCCACCTAAATGCTCAGCTGTGGCATTTGACAGTAAGAGGTATTCCTTCCCTTGCACACCATGTTGGAGCTCAAAATTTAACCGTGAGGGCATCTTTCTCAGCATCACGTGCTCGTGGGACTGGCAGTTCTAAGGCAGATTGTTCTGCTTTGCACTGGGGAGTCTCTGCCTCACAGCCCTCAGCCTGCAGCTTGTCCCAGCACACCACAGCTTCGAGATCCTGCACGAGATGCCAACATCTTAAAATTCAGAGGGAAAACCAGTTACTCACATTGTCCAGCTGTCCCTGCATGAAGGCCACGTTTGCCATCTGGAAGAGACAAAGAGTGCTGAAGCTCCACAAAGGTAGTGATGTTGGGGTTTAGAGATGTAACAAGAACTGGCAGTGCGTAGAAACTACAGATAGGTGAGCCAAGTGATTTACAGAAACAACAAAGAGGGAGGTTTAGGCAGCCAGCAAGGCAACACCCAGTTACTTTTTAACCAGGTGCATTGTCCTGAAGGCAGTCACTTAGAACTTTGGGGGGGCTCCAGACAGAGAAGACCACCAAGACCCTCAATGAAGACCCTCAGAGATCTTATAAGGATATGCATATATGCTAAGAAGTGTTGGGAAGTGTCATGAATATGTAACAGGAGAGCAGGGAAAAAAAATTAATAATTACATAATGCTGACATATGAGCTGTAGTGGAGATACCTCGGTGTGCACTTTGGTGAAACGATGACCAGTGCCCTTGGCACCCATTAAAGAATGCCTGATTTCTAAAACTCACAAGTTGAGTTTTAGAAGTTTCTTACAAGTGCCGCTTTTAGGCAACAGTAGCAGGGACGAGCCTCAACTCAGCTGCTTTTGTTTCTCCCTCCAGCTGCACCGCAGGTCCGGAATCCGGCACAACCCCTCCCTGCCCGAGGGCACCCGTGTCCCGCAGGCCCTTACCACGCTGTAGGTGTAGGCGATGGCCTGCCTGTTGTCCTCCTGGTGCGACAGCCGCAGGGCCTGGTGCAGGAGCCCTCGGCCTCCGCCAGCTCCCCCTTCATGACGCTGAGCTGGGGGGACCCGGGGCCGGTCAGCGCCGGGCCCCGCGCCCCGACCGCCCGCGGGCCCCGCGCCTCACCTTGGCCTTCTTCAGCAGCAGGATGATCGCGTCCTCGCCCTCCTCCTCCTCGGCGTCCCGGGGGAACAGCGACAGCCCTGCGGGGACAGGGCAGCGGGGGATGGAGTCACTGGGTACGGAGTCACCGGCGATGGAGTCACCGGGGATGGGTGATGGTCACCGGGGATGGGTGATGGTCACCGGCGACAGGTGACCGCGGCCTCCTCACCTCCCAGGAAGGCCAGTGCAGCGCCGGCCGGGC